GGCCGTGTTATGAATGCCCACTGCACCTCGCGGGAGCGCGCACAGCGTAAAGCCCAGACCCACAGACATTTCAATGATTTGTACGCAAAGTTAGGTTTGGAAACGGTATCATTTCCTTTTTGGCAGGCATGCATAACACGGCATAACACCGGAGCCTCGCTGCGGGGAAACTTTGGCGCTGTTCTGAGTTTGTTCTAATCGGCCAAAATGACGGACTGCTTTCAAATTGTTCCGTCATTGTTAAAAAAAGATCGTCATAGACGGAAAATATTCGGTTAACGCAACCTCTGCTTTAGTCAGAGATGTCTCAGAGCAAATGCCATCTGCTAATGAAACCTGAAGATGTATATGAAAATTCTAAAAAACTAAAGATAATCAATCTTAAGTTAAGATTTTTTTGTCAAGTGACCTGGTTCTTACGTTTTAATACAACTTATAATCGGACACAGGATTTTGCCACTCAAGCATTGCTTTTTGAAACAGTACTGCACTTTTAAAAGTATGTATTTAATCAATTTCTAAATAAATCAATTGATAAACTGTCTGACGGGATTCTTGCCAGTTACATTATTGTTTGTTAAATAGAGAACATAGTTTTCTTGTCAACCTACTCATGTAGTTAATTGGGGTGAAAAGTAATTGCTTCAGCTGCAGATAAGAAGTATATTAAAATGTATTTTGCTTTCTTACTTCAAGGCAAATCCTCAGGGACCACAACTGCCTCCAGACTCTGCTGCAGCACCTGCGCTCCCACAGCCTGACAATAGTGAGCAACGCCTGCGGAACTCTCTGGAACCTCTCTGCCCGTAGTCCAAAAGACCAGGAGCTGCTCTGGGATCTTGGTGCAGTTAGCATGCTGCGCAACCTTATCCACTCCAAGCACAAGATGATAGCCATGGGCAGCGCAGCAGCTTTAAGGAATCTCCTGACAAATCGACCCCTAAAATATAAGGATGCTGCCGTAGTATCCCCTGGGTCCTGCATGCCGTCACTTTACATGAGGAAACAGAAGGCTCTGGAGGCAGAGCTGGATGCCAAACACCTTGCAGAGACTTTTGACAACCTGGAGAAACAAAGCCCCAAGAATCTGACACTTAACAAGCCACTACGCCACATTGAGAGTCTGGCGAAGGATTATGCATCTGATTCTGGTTGTTTTGATGATGATGAGGCACCCAACGTCTCCAGTAGCCTGGACACTGGGAGTTTCTCGATGCTCTCTATGTTCCTTACAAACTCTAACTTCCTGCAAAACCAACCACGAAAGAGGGACAGTGAACCTGAGAGAGATGTAGATATCCCTCAGATGGTCGAGAAGAGACAAGCTCCTCCTGAAGATTTGGTATCTGCTGCTGCAGAGAAGCTTGCCAAAAAGATCACCAACACGGTTGCCAAGATAGACAGGTTAGTGGAGGACATCACCATGCAAACATCATCGGAGGACAGTTTTAGCCTCAGCTCTGAAGACCACTTGGCGGACTGGCCTTATGGGCTGGATGAACTAAATGAAGCCCGTGCAAAATCATGCTCCCCTTGCCATCTCTCCGAAACAAGCAGCTTGGCCCACAGGGAACGGCTCAGTAGAGCCCATGCCCTCTTGCGCCTCAAAACGGCCAATACAAATGTATCAACAGACAGCCTAAACAGTGGAAGCACCAGTGATGGCTACTGTGGAAGCAAAGACCATATGCGACCTGCTCCAAAGCCTCTAACAATGCAACAGCGTCCCAACCAGCTTGATCTCAAGGTGGCCAATCAAGATTACTTCAATGTTGGAGCGTCTGCACTGAATGAGACTAACCATCAATACATTCCAGAGAGAGATTCTGTGGACAACAAAGATGCAAGAGGTGGAGAGCTCAGCAGCACAGATGCAGAAAAGTATCAGGATCAACCTGTAAAAACGCCTGTCAGTGCTTGTACTAAACTCTCCTCTGATGTCAGCATGACTTCAATTAAACTGTCTCCTTCTTATCAACAGGTTCCACTTATTCAGAGTGTGGCTACATTTGGTGTAGCAAAGACAGCAATCAATGTACAGGCTGCCCAAGCAATGAGGAGGCAAGCATGGGTACCTACTGTGATGACTGGGGCTAGTATTACAAAATGTTCTCCAATGTCATCCACCAGAAGCCCAACTATTGGGGCGATGGAGACGATCCAGAAATACTCGGTGGAGAACACCCCAATTTGCTTCTCCCGCTGCAGTTCACTCTCCTCCCTCTCTTCTGGCGACGGAGCATTGGATGGACAAAGTGAGAATGAGCTAGAGAGTGACTCATCATTAGAAATAATTGAAGTAGAAGATGGGGAAGAGGTGAAAAGAGCTGAAGAGGATGAAACCTTGGAGGATCTGAGTGACAGTCAGCTGCTAATGACTGACTCAAAAACATTCCCCAGCAAAGAGACAGATCCCATTGAGATTCCCTGTCATGCTAAACGGGAAAAGGTGTTCCTTAGAGCAGATTCACCAGCCATACTTGAAGACAGATCTCCATCAAGTTCATCTGAAAACTACATCCACGAGACCCCCCTGATAATGAGTCGCTGTAGCTCAGTCAGTTCCCTGGGTAGTTTTGAGTCTCCTTCTATTGCCAGCTCAATCCAAAGTGACCCATGCAGTGAGATGATTGATGGAACAATAAGCCCTAGTGATCTACCTGACAGCCCGGGTCAAACCATGCCTCCTAGTCGAAGTAAAACCCCTTGTTGCATTGAGTCAAATGAACAAGAAACACAGGCCACAGGAATTGCAGGTCAATGGGAAAACAGCCTGCGAAAGTTCATGGAGATTGCAGACTCCAAGGAGAGGTTTAACCTTCCTCCTGACTTGGACACTATGATCTACTTTACAGTGGAAAAGCCAACTGAAAACTTCTCTTGTGCTTCGAGTTTGAGTGCACTGCCTCTTCACGAACACTACATACAAAAAGATGTTGAGCTGAAATTGACCCCCCTACTCCAGCAAAATGACAAAAATCTTCCTTTCCCTGATGAGCATGAGCATGGATTTGACCATGGAGAGAGATATAGTGAGGGCAACTCAGATGATGACATAGAAATCTTAAAGGAATGCATCAACTCAGCAATGCCCTCCAATTTCAGAAAAGTAAGACCTTCCCTGATGACCACCATCCCTCCTCATATTCTCAATTCTCAGATCCGAAAACAGATTCACGTTCCAGTGTACATGATGCTTCCAAATGGCAAAACCCAAATGTGTCCTGGAAGGAGATTCGTCATCCCCCAAAAGGACTTCATATTTGACGATTCGTCCTTCACTGATTCTACAGAAGGTACACCAGTCAACTTCTCCAGCACAACATCCCTTAGTGATGAAACACTTCAGTATTCAGTAAAGGAGAGGGGAGCTAACGACTGCACAGCTAAAGGTATAAACAAACAGGAATTGCTTGACGATGAGGCAAAGAGGATAGAAGACTTGAGGATATTCTCACACTTCCATAAACCCAACAAGATGAACTACCCACCAGAGATACAAATGAATCGAACAACCAAACATATCATTCCGACGCAGAGGGTGCTGTTGCAGAGCAAAGAGGTAGCAGATAGGGTTGCAAACCAAAGAAAACGTGATAAGTCACCAAACCAGCAAAATAATAGGCACGGTCAAGGTACGGCCAGGAAACTGGAATTGCCCGTCATTAAGCAAAACAAAGAAGGTAACCTAAATGTTCGATCACAAAAAGAGAAAACAGTCTTTCGGCAAATTACACAATCTTCCGAGGACAGTAACAGCTTCTATGATGATAAAAAGGAAGCAATCAAACGAACAAGCAGAAAACAAATCAGGGAAGAAAGTAGAAACACTCTCTCCCGGAGCATGACAAATATTGGCAGTGGTGATCATTCCCAAGCAATTTCAAGAGGATTTCAAAGGATAAAACAAAATCTGATTAAGGATGAATCACTGGCATGTTACTCACTCAGCTCTTCACTTAGTTCACTGAGTGATGCTGAGTTTGAGCCTCATAAATCAAAAGCCCATAAAATATGGTACAAGAACAGACACAACAAAACACTAAATACGATGAAACAAACAAAGACTATAAACATTCACAGCCAATATGAAGATCAAAGCTCGCCAAGCTCTGTCAGCATGGATTCAGAGGATGACCTTCTTCAGAAATGCATAACATCTGCCATGCCTAGGCAGAGAAGAAGGCTTGCTGCCAGAAAGAAAAAAGCAGAAAATACTCAAAAACAAAAGACCTCTGATGGGTGGAACATGAATGAGGAAATGGATATGGATGAGGAAATGGATAGTGATGATACAGCATGGGATAAAGATTCAGACCTCAATAGTGTTGAATGGAGAGCCATACAAGAAGGTGCTAATTGTGTTGTCACTGGGTTGCAGGCATCAAGGTCTCAGGACCCATCTTCTGAAGAGACTGAATCAGTCCTGTCATTTATGTCAACATCCAGCTTTACACCCAAAGAAAGGAAGTTTGCTAAAGATAAAAAGGCAAATAAACCTCTTGACTTTGCACAGCGCAAGCCAGTTCCAAACCTACCAATGGTTTTCAGAGGCAGGACAGTGATCTATACACCGATAAAGGAGACGGCTCCATCACAAATACCTCCTCCTAGAAAAATAACAACCAAGACAGATGCTCCAAAGAACCCAAACCTTGCTCAGCACAGATCAAAGAGCCTTCACAGATTAGGTCGGCCCCAGGATATTGAACTATCTTTGCCAAAGAGAAGCTCTACTCCACCTCCAAGGATACCAAAAAGTGCATCCTCTGGATCATCACAAAGCTCTACACCATCTAATCAGTCACAGAAGAAGATAACATCCCCGACTCAGACAAATAAAGCCAACCAGAAACAGAATGCCTCATTACCTAGTAGCCCGCCAGCTACAAGCCCCCCTGAAAGAAAGGGACGCTCTCCTGTTATGAAACAAAATGAAAAGTCTGCACCACCTAAAACTCAAAAGTCTCCTGTCCGAATTCCTTTTATGCAAAATTCAGTCAGGCCAAGACCTCTTTCACCTCTAGTAACTAACAAAACAACCACCACACAAACCAATCAGGTCAATGGCAAACGTTTGGCCCCCACCAATCGTTTTGGACTGGTCAGGATGACTTCTGTCCATTCCAATGGTGGTGAGTCTGAGCGCAATGGGTTTTTGAGACAGCTGACTTTCATTAAGGAATCACAGAACGCGCTTAGACGTGATAACTCAGCACGCAACATGTCAGGATCTCAAAATGGATCCCCGCGCAGAACAATTCCTGGAGCTACAGCTGTCTTCCTTTGCTCATCACGCTGTCAGGAACTAAAGGTATCTGTGCAAACTCCCAGACGGGTGCAAGTAAAAGATCCAAGACAAACAGAGCAGAGGTCAGACCGCCTTCAGAAGCAGAGTGCAACCCTCTCCAGAGCAACCTCCAGTGAAAGAGACCTATCTGCAAGACGCCCGTCCAGAAGAACCAGTTCTGAAAGCCCTTGCAGGTTGGCTCAGCGAAACGGGCCTGGCAGAGTGTCTGGACCCAAGCAGCAACAAGACAAGGATAACTTTAAACGTCATGCTTCATCGCCAAGCCTAAACATACTGAGCCGGGTGACAAGCCGTTCCTCCCTCCGTTCGTCCTCATCTGATTCAAGCGGAAGAGCAAAGAGCGAGGATGATACAAAGAAGAAAGTGCAGAGATCTGCATCACGGCTTAATGAAAGAGTCACCTGGAGGAGGATCAGGGATGAAGATGTATCTCAGATCTTGAAAAGCACTCTGCCAGCAAATGCATTACCTCTGGTGACTTCTCCTGACGGGGAACAGCCAAAGCCACTGGCTCTACCAGGAAAACTGCCAACAATTCTACTTGCGTCTCGCAAGACAAGCGATGCGACAGTCCAGACAGAGGATTTTACACACAACAAGACCAACTCAAGCACCTCTCCAACGGTTAAAACAGCTCAGGTGATTTCAGAGGAAGTGTCACGCTTTGCTCTACTTAAGAAGATTAGTTCAACCTCTGGGAGTAACCTGCAGGATGGAGATTCTGACGTCTCCCCAAGGAGCCACAGTACTGTCTCCACAGGAACGTCTGATTCCCACGTCAGTGGAGTTGTCCATTTCCGCCAAGGATCCCCCAGCAAGGCCGCCCGTATCACTCCATTTAATTATACTCCAAGCCCCATTTATGGCAACCTACAAGACATGCAGAGCCAGAGAGCCTCGATCAATGAAAAGTCTGGGGGGAAAAGTGAGTCGTAAGACATTTAGTGGATTACTGGACGATATGGATTACTCTACTGTGATCCTGGATGAAACTCAGGTGGACAGTCTAGGAGTGTGGTGGCCCATATACCTCGGGTATTTACCCCTTACTTTCCCCATTCACTGCATTCAAGTCTTTCTCTCTGAACAATTGATCAAAGCTTCCATCTACTATCCATACAAGGTTGGATGTATGCTTTAAGAGAGGTCGGACAAGAACCGACCAGAAACAACAATGCACTTCAGAGAAAAATCTCACATGAAAAGGAAGTGCATCTTTTTGTACTTTTTTTGTATTTGTAGAATAATCATTGCCTGTTAGAAACGTAGTGAAAACATGAAGCAAAAGACAATTAACTGGATTTCAGCACATCGGTTTTCTGGACGGAATCGATAAAAGAACAATATTATGCAAATTCTTGAAGGATTACTCAGCTGGACTTCTACCTGAAAATATACAAACTGTGGATGACTGTTGACAGACTCTCACAATTGACGCCAATACACTGAAATGTTAAGCATTTTTTACATACAGTTAATCAATGCTTTGGGCCTCTTAATCCCTAATCAACTGAATTATAATACACTGCTTGTCTTTTTTGTCTCCATATTTCTCCAGTAGGTCTGGGGCTACATTTAAGAAAAAACTTCGGATTAATAGTGTACAGTGTAACAATTAACTTATTTAGATTATATAGTGATTTCGGAATGATATCGATGTGTATTACAGGTTAACGGTATGAAAAATTCTAAATTCAAAAGCTAAACATTTTACAATATGTATTTAAATATTTTTAATGAGCAAAAAAACTTTTTTGAGGCAACTGTTTGACTTTAGTTGTATTAGTGTACATCTACATATATATACATATATATATATATATGTAGATATTATCATATCTCCCCAGCTCAACTTTGGTAAAAAATTATTAATAATAAAATCATACTGAGCTGCAATTTTGAGGAATAGGATTATTCCCGACACCTACTCTAGTTAAATCCCCGCTGCAGAACAAATGATAGCATCCTGTGTTTTTCCAAACTATAAGCAGATTCTGGTATTTAATCTCTCCTGTACTCTTTGTCTTAATCAGTTTTGTAAATAACACACAGATGTACAAAATCTCCAAAGCTTCCTTGTGGGCAAAATAATCTGTGTTGCTCGATGACAGCATGCATATATACTGTATATCATTGTGGAGGGACAATTAAGTTGTTATTCAGAGGTAAAGTTATTTCTAGACAAGAGCGTTACTAGCCATCTGTTGAAAAGACATATAATGGTATAAACTGTCAGCATAGCTGAACAAAGCGACTACATGCTTCTTTTCATCTAATGACATGACATAATTGTTATGTTTGATTCTATATTCAGGCATTATTGCTGTTGAGTATTCCTTGTCCAGAAACAAAATGATTTCATCCAGTGATGGGGCGGCTTTGAGTCAATGGACATGTGTCCTTACAAAAATCTTTATAACTTGTTAATATCCGCTTAACTGTGTTGCTGTAAAGTAGTGATAGGTTGAGAAGAAGTTGAATATTAAGACAATGAATATTCTCTGTGTTGTAACATCGCTCCTCCGTGTGTGCTGCTGGAAGACAAAAGACAGAACTAACATTCATCATTCATCTACCTAAAGGGGCTCATTATTCATAAAACAAGGTTTATTATTTACCACACTGAACCTACTGTATTTCCAAAGCATATACAGTAAAGCAAAGATGAATTTTAATGCAAAACTTCAGGTCCCCCTGGCCATTTAAATAATATATAGTCTAGTGGGTAGAAGGGGGTATCATGCACCCCCCTGAAATATACTTCTAATCAGCTTTTCTAGATTGGAAACATTTTGTAGAAAACGATTAGCTATGTTAAAAAGATGGCAAATTGTCCCGCGTATATTTTTTTCCCAAATTAGAGTTTATTTACCCTAAAAGTCAAGTTTCACTCTTTTTACACCTTTCACTATATCTCAGCCATTATTACAGATAACTGAACAAATAAGGTATCCAGATCCATGTTTAGAGGGTCAAGGAACACAATAAAACTATTCTTAAAGTGATCACATGTGTCTGTGGCATTCTATTATGCTAATTAGTGCCGCCATTACAAGAAAATAGCAATTTAGTCTTTTACCAAGAACGATGTATTTTGCACTGACACAGAAATATACTTATAATCAGTGTTTCCCAAGTTTAAAAAGTATGTAGAAAATGATGAGCTATGTTAAAATGTTGTCTGGATGTCCCAAATGTATTTTTTATGCAAATGTGTCACCATTACCAAAAATGGAATTTTCAAACTTTCCACTCTATCTCAGCCAATATTGCAGATAAATGAACAAATAATGTGTCTAGACCCATGTTTTGATGGTCAAAGATCACAATAAAACTATTCCCAAAGTGATCACATGTATCTGTGGCATGCTAGTATACAGCGCTGGCACTAGTGAAAATTCCTTTTTTTTTTTACTATGTTTAATCTGAATTTACTCTGAAACAGCAATATCTATATTGATTCTGACACTTATACAGCCAACTCACAGGTGTATCATTGCTTTGATAAAAAATATTATTCATATACCCCTTT